AGCAGACAAAATAATCAGTTAATCGTCAAACCCAACAATTAATTACATTCAAGTAATCGGTTATTCTCACATGAAACTTGGATAGTTGGAATAATCAAAAATAGTAATAATTGGAAATAGTAATTAAATTGATTACATCCATGAGTTGTGACACTAATTGATCAAGCTAAACAACCTTGAATTAATCAAAATTAATAATGAAAAATTGAAATGGTGATATTTTGGTTTCTTGGGTAGCAGTGGTTAGTGGCAAATAAAAGTGGGTAAATACCCTTGTTTGATGATCCAGGTCAGATGGTGGCATGGTAGGAACATAGGTTGTCTCTTATATGAGAAATAAGTAAATGCTATTTACCTATGCATATCCTCAACTACACCACTGTTGGGTGGTTGAGATAATCTAAAACAGTAATAATTATTTATACTAATTCTAATTAGTTGATTATTTTCACGACAGTAATTGACTTGTAACCTTGATTAATTGATTATTATCGTGACAGTAATAAACTTACTTGTAATTTTGATTAACTGATTATTTTATGTGATACTAAGTGATGTAATTGATGGTCATGGGTAATCAATTATACAAGTAAATTGGGTTAATCACCCAACTCTATCTACTGCTACATATAGTTTCAGAGTTTTCTGTGACTGTTTGGTTCATGTATCAGAATGAATTCAGTGTATGTACATATCATAACATATACATTTCCTTTGTCAGTAAGCATTTTTCATGAACTTTATATATATATATATATAATTTTTTATACATAATAGTCATTCTTAACTATTGAATATTGTCATAGACAAGGGTAGTGCAATTACAAATAAAAAAACCACTTTATTGAATTATTCACTATGATATTGCTATATTGTAGAATGTGTTAAGATTATGAGCTCTATAACTATGTGAAACATTTACTGCATTTTATAAGATTAATTCAAATGTACAGGAATTCTACATCTACTTTTTTCTGATGACAAAATTTTCCTATTTTAAAGGCAGTTTTTCGTAGGTTAATTTAAAACTTATTTGTGATCACAAAATATGTGTACAGCATAATTAATAATATTAAGGATAAATTAATGTATTAATTTTATATTTCTAATACACTAGTGCTTTATCTAACTTTGATAGGGAAACTCTGTGCATTTAATATGAACATCTGTATACAATCTTTTTACTTATGTTCAATCAATAAAAATATTCAGGAAGTCCTTATCATATGTATTTTCTCTTGTTATATTTGTGTCGTAATAAGTCACCAGAGGTGTTTGTGTATGCAATATCAAGTCAGATCCTAAAAGTACCAATACAAATATATATAGTGTATGTATTTGTGTTGGTATAAACTTTATTCTAAGGTTATTTGATCATTCTACATGTAACATGGTGTATGCCTTTTTTGCTAATTTTGGATGAACTGTACATAATTTTGTAAAATCTGATGATGATGAAACCATTCTATTTTTAATAGATTTTCCTGAATTTGAATCCTCTCTAAAAGTATTTCTTTCCTATGCTCGTTATCATTTGTGAAATCATGCTTGCATTGAACTGACAGATACCTGTACTGTTAAAAAAAAAAAGGTCCTCTTTCTATTATCCTTTGGAAGACCACATTTTCTGGAAAATATCACTAGTTATTTTTAAGGTCTTTCAATTGGTTTCTTTCTTTAAGTATCACCTTGTTTTTTATTTATGTTAAAATTACATGTATATTTCTTTCTCTAAGAGGAGAAAACTAAACACTAAAAAAGATTAAATTATATAAAAAACTTAATAGATGCTTCATTATTTGTGAAAATTTTAATATATGAGTGTGTGTTTGTGTACTATATACAGAAATGTACAAAACAAGTATAGAAATAATAAGTTCTTGGCTGAAGCCTTAGCTGTATTGCTGTAGACTCCAGCTGTGTCAACTTCAGAAAACCCCAAAAGCTTTTGCAATGAGTAATAACCCAGTCAAATAAAAACACTAACATCTGATTTCTTTTTGGTGGTGTAAGGATGTCTGGTTGTTTTTGTTTTTGAAATTAATTTCTGAAAAATATGGAGTTTGAGGGAGTATCTGGACACTCCCTGGACCCCTCCCCCAGATCCACACATTTATAGCATTAAATAATACAGTTACATAATGATACATTATAAACATAACACAATGAAAAAAAACAACAATAAATTTACACATCATCTAACACTTAAGTCAACAAAAAGCTGGTGGTGGATGCTGCCAGTCAGTTGCCTTCTCTCTCTAGTCAGCAGCTCACAACCAATGACTGATAGGTAGTCTTAGTAGCTTTGCCATGACAAAAAAATGGTTGAGCAAGTTTGGTGGTAATAGGAATCAAATACAATAAGATTGTGATACCTCCAGTGGGTAGAGCCAGATAGCCCATTATGTAGCTCTATGATTAACGAACATAATGGCAGTTTTTCAGTTACTTGGTGATATACTTGATTAGTTGGTTATTTTCATGACATTAATAAATGTGGCTGTAATTTTGATTAATTGATTAGTTTATATGACACAAGTCAATGTAATCACTGCTTATAGGTAATCGATTATATCAATTAAGTTGTCCAGCTCTATTTGTATAAGAAGTCAAAGCAAAATATGTATATTTTCACAGGTTCAGTCATATTAATTTACTTGCTAATCTATTAAATTTTTACAAAATATTTTAAATATTTGAATTTCAAGGATTAATCTAATGTACAAAGTCTTTTGTCTATAGCAGGATTAGAAATAAAGTTTCTATTGTGTAAATTTTCAATACAATAATGTCTTCGCTTGTGATTAAAGATAATTCAGTGCTAACTATATATAGTAGCTAATACAAGAAATATGGTAACTTTATGGTCTCTAGTTCCCTTAATAAAAGTGTTCTTGGTATTATTTACCCTTTATGTTACATTGGTCTTATGAATGCATTTTGCATACCTGTACATAATTTATATTGCAGAAAAACAAAAACATCAAAATTAAACATGAAATATAAAGTAACTGAACAATATTTACATATATTACTACCTTTCAGCATAGTGAGTATTTTGAAATACACTTTCTCTTAAAATTTTACCTGCCTGAATAAATGTACTACTATTTACTTGACTGTTAGCTCTGGAGAGTAAATGAGTGTTGTTGTTTTGTTTATTCACGTTTGTTGTCACATGGTAGGTATGGTAATAACATTTATAGACTAAAATTCAGTACATATGTGCTTTATAAAATCATTTTAATCCATAAGTAAGAAATAGGCAACTAAATACCAGGTAGTTTTATCGTTTGAGTAAAACTACACATGGCTGAGCAGTAGTTACTAAACTGATAGTCTAATTTTTTAAGGCCATTGGGTTTCTTTCTGCTCAACATACATTTATAAGTATGTAGTGGCAACATTGTACTGATACAGATGACTCATCACTGCATGTACTCTCCACTTATTTTTACTGTCAGTTGGGGATTGCTGGTTATTTTGACATATTAAATAACCAGATCAAATACTGCAAATATTTTTTGCACAAGATAAGTGTTTTTTTTTTGAACTCAAAGTAAGATTTAACTGTATGTTTAAACAAGTAGCAGTTGAAGAATTATTCAGTTTCTATGAAAGTGCTGTTTAACTAAGAATATATATATATATATATGTGTGTGTGTGTTTTACTGAAATCATTTTATGTATATCTTGCACTAATTAAATATGAAAGCAGTAATCTACAGTTTGCTGGTTTTTTAAGTGTCAGTGAAAAGTATTATTTTAAATTATTAATAACTAAGTCAGATTTTTTTACTTATATGTAAAAATTATATGAGGTTTTATGAAGATATATAATATATACGAGTAGTTGGTTTGACTTGTTTTAAGCTCATATTAAATTAATGTATTGCTTACATAAATCCATAAGTAATTTTTAAAGTTCTTACATTTGTTACATCCTATGGAGTTTTCAAATAATTAGACTGTATTCTGTTGTCCAAGAGGTTAAGGAAAGATTTTATGGTGCAGTAACAATTAAATGTATGGGCATTCCATATAAAAAAAAAATATTGTGATTTGAGTTCAAGTGTAGTTTAAAATTATATTTGAACTATCTAATGTTTACTGTGTCTTGATTAAAACTGAAAAAAATGTTATACATTGCTCATTGTAACATATCTGTTTATATACATCATCAACAGAATGTTAAGTGTAAATGTTTAGAGGCTGGCACCGTACATGTTAGAAAAGTATCTTATCAGCTTCTATCAACCAGTAGGGACTGTTCAAATAGATTTTCACAAAGATTTAGGCATTACATATGAACTGGTATCTGTGTTTGCTCAGACATTTATCTATACGACTTACTGTTATGAGATAGATGTAGTAGTCCACAAATACCATACTTGTATTTTGACTGGTGATTGTTTTTTATCATCTGTAAAGCAGATGTTGTGGATGGTTACATGTATTATTAGAACAAGAGAAGTTATGCTTAGTTCAGAAAAATAAAAGTGGCCTCCCAAACAATTTTTAGTTTATTTTAATTGTTCAGCCTTATTTTATAACCATTTAGTGTGAGGTAAAGTTACTGGTTCTCAGACATTTTCTGGCCATTAAAGTTATTTATTGTATTTTATGGAGTATAAGAAGAATGTACAGAAAATATCATTATTTAAATGCATCCCTAAATTGGAAGATCTTATTGTCATAGGGTATGTAAAATAATATCACATACTTCCCTTTTTTTTTGTTTTGAATATTTTTGGGTAATCCGCATCAGTATTATTTTTAAGAACATTGGTTATCTTCATTTTACAAAGTGGTTCATTTCTTCTAACAATTACTTATTGGGAATAAAAGTAGCTAATTCAAACAATTAAGGCATAATTTATTGGTGTGTATGATCATAAGTGAACCTAACTAAGTGTGTGTTCAAGTCAGTAGTTTAGACCTCTTTACATTATTTACATAAAGAGAAGATTCAGCTGTAAATTTTGATACATCACCCACAGACGTGGACTTTCACGTACAGTACTTCAGAATCATCCACTACCAGAATTGCTTGATGATTTGATAGAACAGCCGACAAACCAAGCTGGCAACCAGAAGAGTATCAATGCTGAGTAAGTGAATGTTTTATGAGTTGTAGATGTTCCTTATAAACATTACTAGCATTGTGTGTAACTATAGCAATGAGGGGTAAACTTTTGCAAAAGAGTAACTTTTTCTATACCTCCAGAAACCTCATTTTGCATACTTTGTAAAAGTAAAAACTGTTTTTGTTCAAAGTGTTTGAGCTGATCTTGTTTCATGTTAATTAAGATATTTTTTTTCCTGTATATTTGTATCCAAGTAGTATTCTAATGGTTAAATTTAGTTTATCTATTTGTTTTGAATGTTTAGTGTTCGAAAGTCATTAGTGTGTGCTTTTGTTTTGAACCTTTCACTTAGGTAGACAATCTATTCAGCTTTATTTATATGTCTTATTGCCTATTGATTGTTAACTTCATTCAAAAATATTGAGAAACATTAGTTTACATTGGTCAGTAGTTTGTTGTTCATTAGAAAGTATTTCTTACATAAATACACACACATGTATGCACAGTCACAGAAATTATACCTTTATTAATTTCATTTGTTAAAATATTTGAAAGTAAAATTTTATAATAGTAGTATATAATCTAAGTTTACCAGAGGCTTCTAAGAAGTTTGAGATTTATTTCACTATTTTATCATCCATACTAGAATATTCAATGTTTGTTAGTGAAATAATCATGTTGTATGTATGAAGTCATGTTTGGACTCTCTGAGAACAAATTAAATGTAACCTTCAACATTTAGCAATTTTGGCTTTATTTGTATTATTATAGTCCCATTATTGCTTCATAATAATTAGGATAGTTCAGAAAATTATGCATATAAAGTCTTAAAAATATTGAATTAGTCTGATTTGACTTTTTAGTTTTCAGATACAATCTGTCTCATTGCATTTTCTTCTCTTAGGCCAGTGTACGGCACCAAGTGTCAGCTAATGCAGAATTAACCACTTTGAGATGAGTAAAGGTTTTATATGATGTATTTTGCAGTTTCTCTTCATTCATTTTATTTTTAGATATCAAGGGTCCTGTCTGTTCCCAGACAATGTTCTTGTATCTGACTGCAGCTGGACAGGAGATACACAGAGAACATTAAGTTCTTGTTCTTGGGGAGATGATGTAATTACTATATCTTTAATTACTCTTTAGTTAAGAAACATAGTATGGTTGTGTGTATATATAATAATCAATCATCATATATAAATAAATATATATACATAATTTCTTGTTTCATTGAAATTTTATGTAGTATATAGATATTGTATTAAAATATATATATAAAGGTTGATTTTGCTTCAGGTGTTGTGAT